TGACCTTAAGGTAAAGTGAGTTTATGTTAAAAAGGCAGGTGCAACTCGGAAAAGGAAGATGACAGTGGTTGCACAGCTAAAAGAATATCATCAATATCCCCAAAATGTCCATGTAGAGATTGTTGAATTGGTATATGTTTTACTGTGTATCTTCTCAACATCAATAACAAAATAAATACAATTCAGGGTGAAAACAGCTTAGGAGTTTACTTGTTGGTATAGAACTATGTTAACTGACAACTGTTGAACAAATAAAACAAACTTTAGCATGTACGCAAGTAATGTTCCCCTTTATGCCGAATTACATAGGTTTTATTTTTTTGAGAAATATATATGATACATGCAAAGAGATGGGCGTTAACATCTTTGTGTTCTACTGAAATCAAACCCTAAGGAAAAAGCCTTAGACTGGAAGTTTATTTAGGAGGTGATGGTAGAGACAGAAGGGGGCAAATAAGCTAGATAAGGGAGCTATGTATGCATTATAGTATGAACGAAGGCTCAGTGATTAAATACTTGTGTTTTCCAAGTGTTAACCAAAACGTACATCTTTCAAACCTACTGGTAGCTACACTGTACAGAAATGTGGCATCTGTTTCCTCACTAGGAAACCTGTTATGGCTGTTCTACTCTGTCCTCTGCAGTATCTATGTGTCAGAATCCACTAAATGGCAATGGTAAAATGCCTATGGGGAATTAAGGGTTCCCTTCCTGTGGGGACTCTCTGAGTAAAGTGAATGCTCCTGAGAAATGCCCCCACCAGTTGTGGGGAGCTGACATCTATTTGTTTATCTTCATTGGATTGCCTAAATCCTGCATTTTTTGGTTGTGCCTGTTTGTGGTTTCAGAAAGAGCAGAGAAACTGCAGGTGCCAGCTCTCTGTGTGATGCTGGACCTGCCAGGAGCTGTCCACTCCAGCTGAAGTCTTTGGGCAGAGAGGATGTGGCAGGCACCAATCCACATTCATCAATTGCAGCGGTTCTTTCTGGGTGTGAGAGCTCAGTGATGTTTTACTTTTTTCTCTCGTGATGCACAGACAGCTTTATAATAAGCATCTAGTTTTACAAAAACAGTGAAATAATTTTTATTAAGAAAGGAAGTCATGTAGTGCTCATTAGAAGCCTCCATGAGTTCTTAAAGACTCCCATCTAAACCACTAAACCAGTCTCCTCTTTGAGATTGGATTTCTAGAAAGTAAAAAGACATTAATTATAAGATTTGAGCAGGACACCAGGAAGATCTCTTATTAAAACTATGTGAATGTACAATGACCAATGAAATTGTTGTTGTTGTTATGTGCTGTCGAGTCACTTGTGACTCATAGTGACCCTATGTACAACAACTCTGAACGCTGCTCTATCCTGTGCTAACCTTATAGTCTCTGACACACTTACTCCCATTAACCCAGTCACTGAGTCAATCCATCTCATCCAGGGTCTGCCTCTCTTGCGCTGTCCCTCCACCCTTCCGAGCATGATGTCCCTCTACAAGGACTGGTCCCTCCTTGCAACATGCCCAAAGTATGTCAGATAGAGTTTCAGAATCCTTGCCTCCAAGAAGCAGCCTGGTTTCATCTTCTCCAGAACAAACCTGCTTGTTCTCCTGGAAGTTCATCGTATATTCAATATTCTTTTCCAGCACCACAGCTCAAAGGCATTAATTCTTTTTCTGTCATCCTTAGTCATTGTCTAGCTTTCTGATGCATAGCTCGTAATTGCAAAAACTATGGCTTGGATCAGGCACACCTTGGTTTCCAGACTGATATCATTGCTCTTCAGTATTTTGGAGAGGTCTCTGATAGCAGACCTTCCCAGTGCAATTTGTCTTTTGATTTCCTGGCTGCTGGCACCAGGATTGTTGGTTGTAGAGCCAAGCAAACTGAAGCTGTTAACAATCTCAATCTCTTCGCCATCTGTGATGTGCTGCCAACTGGCCCAGTGGTGAGAATCTTTGTTTACTTTATGTTGAGCTTCAGTTGATATTTAAGGCTACAGTCCTTGACCTTCTGCAGCAAGAGCTTCAGATCCTCTTCAGTTTCAGCAAGTAAGTTAGTGTCATTTGCAGGGTGAATATTGTTGATGAGTCTTCCTCCAATCCTGATACCACATTCCTCTTCATAGAGCCCAGCCTCCCGGGTGATCTGTTCTGTATATTGATTGAAAAGGTATGGAGATAGGACACATCCCTGGTGCACACCCTTCCCAATTTTGAGCCATGCAGTGTCTCCTTGCTCTTTTCTGATGACTGCCTCTTGGTCCAAGTATAGATTTCACATAAGCACAATCTGGGATTCCCATCCTTCTCGAAGTCAGCCACACTTTGTTGTGATCCACATAGTTAAATGCTTTTGCATAGTCAATGAAACACAGATAGACATCCTTCTGGTACTCTCTGCTTTCAGCCAAGATCCATCTAACTATAATATCCCTAATATAATATCCCTCTTCTAAACCCAGCCTGCACATTTTGCAGTTCTCTATTGATGTGCTACCGTAGTCGTTTTTTGAAAATTTTCTACAGAATCTTGCTTGTATGTGATAGTAATGATATTGTTTGATAATTTCCCCACTCTGTTGGGTCACCTTTCTTTGGAATGGGAACAAATATGGGTTTCTTCAAGTCAGTTATCCAGGTGATTGTCCTCCAGATTTCTTGGCACAATTGGAGAGCACATCTGGGATAGCATTTGTTTGTTGAAATATGTCAATTCATGGGGCTTTGTTTTCTGCCAGTTCCTTCAGAGCAGCTTGAACTGACTTGAGAATCAAAAAATAACTCCATTCTATCCACCTATAGACAGCTGATATTTGGCAAAGAGAAAATCCATTAAGTGGCAAGAAAGACAAACTTTTTAATGAATGGCGCTGATGAGACTGAGGTTTATTTAAAAAAAAATCTTGTGTGTGCCATTGAATTGGATCCTACTGGCACAGGAGAAGATTGCCCCTTCTTCTCCAGTGGAGCATCTGGTGGATTCAAACCACATGCCTTTGGGATTGCACTGCAGCTCTTTGCCACAAGGCTACCCGAGCTCCCCAAGACTGAGTATCTTTTTGCAGAAAGTGAAAACAAAATCCATACCTCACACCATATACAAATGTGAACTCAAGATGGACCAAGGACCACAGCGTAAAATCTAAAGCTATAAAGATTATTTTTAAAATGGGGTAAAATTGGTGCAACCACTATGGAAGATGATATGGCACTTTCTCAAAAAGCTGCAAAAGAGATACCAGGAATTCCACTACTGGGAATATACCCCAAAGAGGCCATAACTGACATCCAAGCAGATATATGCACACCCACGTTTATTGCAGCTTTGTTCACAATAGCAAGGAGTTCGAAACAACCTAAGTGCCCATCAACAAACGAATGGATAGAGAAGCTGCGGTATAGTCACACAATGGAATACTATGCTGCATTGAAAAACAAAGAACTCATGCAATATTATTCAAAATGGGTGACTCTGGAGGACATTATACTGAGTATACCTCAGTAAAAAAAAAGGACAAATACTGTATGGTGCCACTGTTATAAAACAGGACTGACCTCGGAGTTGGGGGGAGACTGAGAAAGATGTATTCAATGATGTATACTGCACTGAAATAGATGAAGGAGAAACCTGTTTAAAAGGGATATGTGATTAGGTATTTTTGTCACGGCAGGAGTCCAGAGCGAAGGCTGCATAGTGGAGTGGACCTGGGAGGAAGGATTGTAAAACAATGAAAGAATTTTTCTTTTACTTTTCCAAGAGGGTAGGTAGTGTACCAGCAGGGAGTATTGGGAGGGGAGAAAAGTGCAACATGAATGAATGGAAATCCAAAGTCTCTGTAAATTTTCATTGAAATTAATAATAAATTTTAAAAAACCCCTACAGAGCCTCCGCAAGAAAAAGACTGATAATCCAATTACAAAAGGGGCAAAAGACATGGAAAGACTTTTCACAGAGCAAGACATTTGGATTACCAATAGCTACATTAAGAAATGATCAAAATCACTGGCAATAAGAGAGATGCAAAGCAAAACCAAAATGAGATCTTACCCCAGCAGCAGTGGAATAGTTTAACAGGACCAGAAGCAAACATGTTGGATCGGGACTCATATACCCTGCTGGTGGGATTGTAAAATGTACTCTGGAAGACAGGTTGGCATTTACAAAAAAATCTACACATAGAAATTCCATATAACCCACCTATTATTCCACTGCTAGGAATAAACTCCAAAGAAATTAGAATTGAGACACAAACAGATATTTGTACACCAATGTTCACAGTAGCATTATTCACCAACACAAGAACATGGAAACAGTGCAATGTGCAACCACAACTGAATGGATTCAGAGAAACTGTGGTATATTCAAACAATGGAATTCTACGCAGCACTCAGGAGCAATGATTCTGAAAATTACTACACAACTTGGGAGAGACTGGAGGGCATTATGCTAAATGAACTAACTTGTCTTATAAGGACAAATATACTGCATAAAGCCATTATTGTAAAAATAGAAGGATAACTAGTAAAAAGATGTATAGGTGTCTAAGCGGGAGGGGGGTGGATGGAGTGGAAGCAGAGAGGCGAGGGATGGGCAGGGGAGAAATCATAGCGTTGCACAATTTTACGGGTGGAAGAAGTGTGGGGTAAAGGAAATGGGAAAGATCTGGTAGGGACCTAAAAATATGAGGTAATGATGGGCTTAGTTCAATGGGGATTAAGTTTATGAAACACAATGTGTGGGAATGATTGTATGAAACACAATGTGAAAGAAGGAAAATATGAAACATAATGCATATGAATTTGGATGCTAGTTAATACAAAATAATTTTTTTTAAATTAAAAAATGGGGTAAATTTAAGAACCCTAAATTATGGCTAACATCGAGAAGAATGAAAATCAAAGAACACTTAATTGTGCTTGTCTAAAACCTATACTGAGACCAAAAGATATTTGCCTGAACAGAGCAAGAGAACACTGCGTGGTTTAAAATCAAGAAAGATGGTGTGGGCCCTGGCCCACGACGGCGGCGGGAGATGCATCACTGTAAGCGATACCGCTCCCCTGAGCCAGACCCATACCTGAGCTACGGATGGAAGAGGAGGAGGCCTTACAGCCGGGAGCATGAAGGGAGACTGCATTATCTGTCCCGGAGGGAGCCTCCACCTCGCAGGTCTCGATCCAGAAGCAATGACCGCCTACCCTACCAGAGAAGATACCGGGAGCGCCGAGACAGCGATGTGTACAGGTGTGAAGAACGGAGCCCATCCTTTGGAGAGGATTGCTATGGATCATTGCGTTCACACCACCGTCGGCGGTCACGGGAAAGGGAGCCATATCGGACACGCAAGCACGCCCACCACTGCCACAAACGCCGCACCAGGTCTTGTAGCAGCGCCTCTTCGAGAAGCCAACAGAGCAGTAAGCGCAGCAGCCGGAGTGTGGAAGATGACAAGGAGGGCCACCTGGTGTGCCGGATCGGCGATTGGCTCCAAGAGCGATATGAGATCGTGGGAAACCTGGGCGAAGGCAACTTTAGCAAGGTGGTGGAGTGCTTGGACCATGCCAGAGGGAAATCTCAGGTTGCCCTAAAGATCATCCGCAACGTAGACAAGTACCGTGAAGCTGCCCATCTAGAAATCAACGTTCTTAAAAAGATCAAGGAGAAGGACAAAGAGAACAAGTTCCTGTGCGTCTTGATGTCTGATTGGTTCAACTTCCACGGCCACATGTGTATCGCCTTTGAGCTCCTGGGAAAGAATACCTTTGAGTTCCTGAAGGAGAATAACTTCCAGCCTTATCCCCGGCCACATGTCCAGCACATGGCCTACCAGCTCTGCCATGCTCTTAGATTCCTACATGAAAACCAACTGACCCACACAGACTTGAAGCCAGAGAACATCCTATTTGTGAATTCAGAGTTTGAAACTCTCTACAATGAACATAAGAGCTGTGAAGAGAAGTCGGTGAAGAACACCAGCATCCGAGTGGCTGATTTCGGCAGTGCAACTTTTTTTTTAAAATAATTATATTTTATTAATTTTCATAAACATTTACAGAGATTTTGGGTTTCCATTCATTCACCGCTGCACCATTCTCTCTACCCTCCTCCCAGTTTGTTCTTGTCCAAATGCCACAGTGCTTGTCAAAGCCAGTTCTGATTAATCTTCTTTGTCAGTGTGTCCTTTGTCATTCCCTATCACTCCTCCCTGAGAGAGACTTCACCCTGAGTCATAAGGAAAAGGGGATGGCGTATTCTCTTAGCTACTTCCTGCTGAAAAGGGACGCTGTGGGCAGTGCAACTTTTGATCATGAGCATCACACAACTATTGTGGCCACTCGTCACTATCGCCCACCAGAGGTGATCCTTGAGCTGGGTTGGGCACAGCCCTGTGATGTCTGGAGCATTGGCTGCATTCTCTTTGAATACTACCGGGGCTTCACACTCTTCCAGACCCATGAAAACTGGGAGCACCTGGTGATGATGGAGAAGATCCTAGGTCCTATCCCTTCGCACATGATCCACCGCACCAGGAAACAAAAGTATTTCTACAAAGGTGGCCTGGTCTGGGATGACAACAGCTCTGATGGCAGATACGTGAAGGAGAACTGCAAACCTCTGAAGAGTTACATGCTCCAAGACTCCCTGGAGCACGTGCAGCTGTTTGACCTGATGAGGAAGATGTTAGAGTTTGACCCTGCCCAGCGCATCACACTGGCGGAGGCCCTGCTGCACCCCTTCTTTGCTGGCCTGACCCCCGAGGAGCGGTCCTTCCACAACAGCCGTAACCCCAGCAGATGACAGGTGCAGGTCCCTGCAGAGGAGATGGAGGTCAGGACTGGGCTGCCCAACCCCTTGTCTTCAATCTCTACCACCAGGCCCCAGGGCCAGAGCCACCCAAGGAACAGTGCAATGTGAAGGAAGGCAGGAGCCTGCAGGGGAGGAGACTTGGTGCCCAGCTGCCAGAAAGCACAGATTTGACCCAAGCTATTTATATGTTGTAAAGTTATAAAATAAAGTGTTTCTTACTGTTTGTAAAAAAAAAAAAATCAAGAAAGATGCGTGTCAGAGCTGTATCATTTCTCCATACTTACTCAATCTGTATGCTGAGCATATCATTTGGGAAACTGGAATATATAAAAAAGAGTGTGACATAGAATTGGAGGAAGACTCATCAACAACTTGCATTAGGCAGATGATACAGCTCTGCTTGCTGAAATTAAGGAGGACTTTGAAATGCTTGCTGCAGAAGATCAAAGACTACAGACTTCAGTATGGATTACATCTCAACATCAAGAAGACAGACATCCTACCACTGGGCTAATAGGCAACACTATGATAGGTAGAAAAAAGTCTGGAGTTGTCAGTGATTTTATCTTACTTGGATCTATAATCAACACTCTTGGTACCAGCAGTCAAGAACTCAAAAGGTGAGTTACACTGGGAAAGTCTGCTGTCAGTGACCTCTTCAAGGTGTTAAGGAGCAACAATGTTAGTTTAAAGGCTAAGACGCATCTAATTCAAGCTGTGAAATTTTCAATTACTTGCTATGTATCTGAAAGTTGGGCGGTGACCTAGCGTGACAGAAAAAGAGGTGATGCCTTTGAGTTGTGGTGTTGGAGAAGAGTAATAGATATCTCATTGACTGTCAAAAGAACAAACAAGTCTGTCTTGGAGAAAGTGTGCCCAGGGTGCTCTTTTGAAGCAAGGATGATAAAACTTTATCTCAAAAACTTTGAATATGTTGTTAGGAAAGGGGCCAGTCCTTGGAGAAGGGCATCTTGCTTGGAAAGGTGAAGGGCCACCGTAGGAGAAGACCCTCAATAAGATGGATTGACAATGGGCTGAAGCATATCAGATATGGTGATGATGGCACAAGATAGCTCCAGGTTCAGACCTGTTGTTCACAGGGTTACTGTAAGTGACAGTTGACTCAACGGCATATAACAGGAATCTGTGGTATAAATAGATTATAAAATATAACTGAAAACACACAATCAGAAGATAAACTAGGTCATTGTTATTGTTTTTAGGTGCCTCAAGTTGACTAAGGTACCTTATGAGCAATAGAACTGAACTTTGCCCTATCATGCGCCACCTTCCTAATCTCTGTTGTACTCAAGCCCATTGGTACAGTCACTGTCTCAGTTCATCTTGATGGGAATCTTCCTCTCTTTCTCTGTTCCTTCATCTTTCCCATCATGATGTCTTTTTCTAAGAACTGGCCCCTCTAGACAATATGCTCAAATTATATGAGACTAAATTTCACTATCCTTGCTTGCTCCCTGTTTTCACTCTCTCCAGGACAGACACGCTTGTTCTTTTGGCAGTTCATGGAATGTTCAGTACCCTCTTCTATTACTACCGTTCAAAGGCATCAATTCTTTTTCTGTCATCCTTATTCCCTCTTCAACTTTCAGATGCTGAAGAAAGCATTGAAAAGACCATGGCTTGGATCAGGCACATCTTAGTCTTTAAACTAATGTCCTTATACTTTTAGCACTTTGGAGAGATTGAGACCTCATAAACACTAAATTCCTTATGTGCATGAAAAGATTTTCCCAAAAGAATAAAAAAAACAACTGTTGATTGGGGAAGATATTTGGTAATGGGATTTCGGAAAATGTGTAGGAAACTCAAACACTGCAACAAGGAAAAGTCAAACAACCCAATTACAAGACAGGCAGTGGGCATGAATACACACTTCACCAAAGAAGACTTTCAGAGGAGCAATAAACACATGAAGAATTGCCAAAAATTATTAACTATTCTCAAAATTCAGCACCAGCTCACAGCTGACACCCCCCGCCCCCCGTGGCTTTTGGAAGCTGTAAAGCACGCAAGAAGAGACCCCTCATCTTTCTACCTCAGAATCGCTGGTGGATTTGGACTGCGTGCCAGAAAGGAGCTGCCCTCGGATTAGCAGAGCAGGCCATCAGAGTGCCTACTAACAATTAAATAAACAAACACGAAAAACCAAACCCAAAACAAATACCTCAAACCCATGGAGCCAGAAATGACTCAAAACTGACTGTTCAGAGGATTTTCAAAGACTGTAAATCACATGGGAGGAGAATGCCCATTTTTCTCTATAAGAGCAGCTGTTATGTGCTGTTGAGTCAGAACCCATCCCTAACTGACCCTCCAGTGGGTTTTCAGAGGCAGTAAGTTAGGTGGAAGGGGATTGCCCATCCTTCTCCTGCAGAACAGCTGATGGATTTGAACTGTGTGCCTTTGGCTGGGATTGCAGCACAGCTTCTTTATATGAGAGTTCCAATCTTTCCACAGCCTCACCGGCATGTACTATCTGATGTCTTACCAAACATAGCTGTTTTTACTAGAGTGAGATGATATCTCATTGCTATTTTAATTTGCATCTTACTAATACCTAATTCCTTTATTGAAAACCTTATCAACAATAAAAGAAATAGGTCACAGAGAGATGCAAATTAAAATAACTTGAATTAGATGCATCTTAGTCTTCAAACTGACTTCTTTGCTCCTTAGCACCTTAGAGAGGTCCTTGGTAGCATATTTTTCCCAGTGAAACACATCTTTTGAGTTCCTGACTGTAGGTACCAAGTGTGTTGATTGTGGATCTAAGCAAGATGAAATAGTTGACAACTCCAATCTTTTCTCCATCTATCATGATGTTGTCTTTTCGTTCAGTGGTGAGGATATTTGTCTTCTTGAGGTTGAGATGTAATCCGTACTAAAGGCTGTAGTCTTGATCTTCTGCAGTAAGTGTTTCAAACCTCCTCCACTTTTAGCAAGCAAATTTGTGTCATTTGCATAATGCAAGTTGTTGATGAATCTTCCTCCAGTCTTGATGCCACATTCTTTTTCGTAAATTTCCAATTTCTCAAATTATTTGCTCAGCATTCAGATTGAGTAGATATGGAGAAAGGATACAGCCCTGACACACACCTTTCTTAATTTTAAACCTGCAATGTTCCTTTGCCTTATTTGAACAAGTTTCTTGGTCTCAGTATAGATTTTGCACAAGCACAATTAAATATTCTGGGATTCCTATTTTCCCCCCTCCTTTTATAAAAATTGATTTTAACGAAAGTTTACAAAGACTTAGGGTTTCCAGTCATTCATTGTTACACTTTTCTCCCTCCTCAAACCCTCCCCCCTAATTCACTCTTCTTGAAAAGAAAGAAAAACTCTTTCATTGTTATGCAATCCCTCCCCCCAAGTCTACTCCCCTATGCAGTGTTCACTCTGGATTTCTGTAATGAGAAGAAAACCCACTCATATGTCTCTTTTAAACACTTCTCCCCCTCATCTGTTTCAATACAATATACATCGTTCTTCCCCTCCTTTTCTGTCTTCCCTCAACCCTGATATCAGTCCCGTTTTACAACAGTGGCTCTATGAAATATTTGTCCTTTTGTGACTGAGATATTTCATTTGGCATAATGTCCTCCAGGTCATCCATTTTGCATAATATTTCATGAGTTCCTTGTTTTTAAATGCTGCATAGTATTTCATTGTGTGGATATACCAAAGCTTCTCTATCCATTCGTTTGTTGATAAGCACTTAGGTTGTTTCCAACTCCTTCCTATTGCAATCAAAGCCACAATAAACATGGGTGTGCATATATCTGCTTGGGTGGCAGTTCTAGTTTCTTTAGGTAAATTCCCAGTAGTGGAATTGCTAGGTCAAATGGTATTTCTATTTGCAGCTTTTTGAGAAAGCACCATACAGCCTTCCATAGTGTTAAACGTACGCTCCCACCAACAATGAATAAAGGTTCCAGTTCCTCCACAACCTCGCCAGCATTTGATGTTTGATGTTCTGCTAAATTTTGCTATTCTTACTGGGGTGAGATGATATCTCATAGTTGTTTTGATTTGCATCTCTCTTAGAGCTAGGGATTTTGAACATTTCTTCATGTGCTTGTTGGCCATCTGAATGTCATCTTTTGTGAAGTGTCCATTCATATCCTGTGCTCATTTTTTAATTGGGTTATTTACCTTTATCTTGTTGTGGTGGGGATTCACATTCTTAATGTTAGTCATCATTTGCTATGAGCCACATAGTCAAATTGCTTCAAATAGTCAATGAAATAGAAATAGACATGCTTCTAGTATTTTCTGCTTTCAGCCAAGATCCATTTGAAATCAGCAGTGATAACCCTGGTGCCACAGACTCTTCTAAATCGAGCTTGAATTTCTGGCAGATCTCTGTATGTGTACTGTTCTAGCCATTTTGGCACTTCCTAAAGAATAGAAAAACCCAGAAATTTCATTACTAGTTACATGCTCCAAAGAAATAAGAGCTGCAACATTAACTGATATATCCACACCCATGTTAACTGCAACATTTTTCATAACAGCAATTAGTTGGAACAATAGCTGATGAAACTATAGTACATTCCCTAAGAAATAATCAGAACTCTGTGAAATTCTGCACTATGTGGATGAATGAGAACAAATTAAGCTGAGTTACATAAAGTATGGTTGTTGCTGTTGTTGTTAAGTGCTATTGAGTCATTTGTGACTTGTAGTGATCCTGTGTACAACAGCTCTGAACTCTATCCTGTGCAAGCCTCATATACATCCACCTCCACTACTCCAGTCATTGAATCAATCCTTCTCATCCAATGTCTTCCTCTCTTGCATTGTCCCTCCACCCTCCCAAGCATGCTGTGCCTCTCCAAGAACTGGTCCATCCTTGCAACATGCCCAGAGTATGTCAGATGGAGCTTCAGAATCCTTGCCTCCAAGGAGCATCCTGGTTTCACCCTCTCCTGGATGAACCTTTTATTTTTCTAGCAGTCTATGGTATATTC